TGGCAAATAGTGAGAAGGAAAGTCTGATGGGTCTTCTAAGATTTTCATGACTGAGCATGGTAAGTTTCCTAACAACAATGAGGAACAGACACCACCACTCATCTATTTCTACCACCACTGTGTCCGAGGAAAGAAAGAACTGGCTAGCTAGCCAGCCAGACTGAGGCTACATTCTCAGGAAAACCTTCACCTTCTACACAGAGATCACCCTATAGAATATTAACCAATACTTTTTCCTTTCTGTCTCTTTTGTCTTCTATTTCTTTTTCTAAAAGGACCAATGTGGCTCTGGCAATCTATTAACTGGTCTACAGAATTTACGGAAAAAGTGTTAAGTTTTGATCACAAACAATTCACAAATTTTAAAAGATTAATTTTGATGAAAGTCATAAGAAACTGTTTCAGGTTCCTAATTGCTATTGCAATCCTAGGGGTATCCAAGGATTACAAGGATACGAAGGTAGTTAAGTGAGGAGTATTTTAAAAAATCGATTGCTCAAAATATTCATTATATATTAAAAATGAAAACTATATTTATTTCAGTGTCATAAATAATAGCATGAATCTTAAAATGAAGACTGTATGATGGCAGAATGGACTGTGAGCAGAGACTCAGACATGATTAGCTGATACCAGGAGACACCATTGTTCCCATTCTATTGTAATATATTACAGGTATATATTACATGTACATATAGGGACAAGAAGTCACTGAAGTGTTCACATCATTTTCAAGCACTCTAATAAATCAAAGTCTCTACTATGAATCTTGTCATTAAAAGCAAGGATCAAAACAACAGTCAAAGGTACTTCAACTTCTTTTAACAAAAACAAGTGTAACTACTCTGAGCTGGAAATTAATGACAGATGTGTTCAGAGAGAACAAAATCAACTTGTAAAACTAACAGATAGAACTGGACATTATGTAATATGTGTGCTATACAGCGAGTAAGAACAATTACTATCACAGATGTATGTATAAGCCTCAGTATTTAATGGCTACATGAAACCACTAGTGTATAGAATATGAATCAACTCAGCATATCCACGAGTGAAATGTAATTCAAGAAATATAGACAACTTTTAATCCTGATTATCAATGGAAAGATGATATCTAAAAGGGACTTTTCCTTGAACTAACAACTATTTTTGAACTTTGACTTGAAAAGGTATACTGAGATCAATATGGCCAGAGCAATAGTTATGTGTGTACCAAGAAAGAGCCTATTAAAACAGATTTGCACATGGCTTCACTTACAAAACAGCTGGCATTTGACAATATAACCTCGAGTCAGTGTTAAAGACAGCATGGAAAATTATGAATATAATTCAAATGCAATCCTTAAGCAAGCACTGTATCTTCAGCATATGATGTCAAGAAAGCAAATATAGACTCTGCTTCTCTACTCAAGAGGAAAGATGCTTAAACTAGTCAAGTAAAAGATTTAAAATTTTTTCACGATACTAATGTCAGAAAAATATTTCTATGATCTTAAGTGGCTTACTTAAGTGCCATATATCCAAAACACTACAATGAATAGCCTGAACCCATCACTTGAGCATGAAATAATACAATTCTTAAAAATAAATACATTGTCTATCATAACTTTCCACCCATGAGGGCCCACACTGTGTTTCCCAGATGCAGCATGTACTTTTGAAAACATAGCCTTTTTTTTTTTTTAATGGTACCGGAGATCGAACTCAGGATCCTGTCCTTTCAAGGCAAGCAGCAGAACCACTGAGCTAAATCCCTGGCTCTTGCAGCATGTACTTTTTATATCTTTGCTCTTACCCTCTTTTTCTATTTACTCAGGCCAAGCTCACTCTGCAGAGCTGGTCTCTCTCCCATTCTTCACTTTTACTTTCTTGAATAAACTCTGCCACTGTTTTTTGCTGGTTTCATTCAATTCTTTGTTCAAGATGAGAAGAACCTGAACTCCAACTCCAGGAGAGGCACGCAACCCCAAACCCAGTAATGTTTAGTTGGTGAGCCATTTTTTAGAAGCAAGCTAACCGCTAACAGTGCCTCTTCACAATAGCCCACCCTTATGCTATAGGATGTACTTCTTTTCTCACTTTCACTTGGCCCAAACTCACTCTGCAGAGCCTGTTTCTTTTCCTACCTTTAATAAAACTTTGCTGTTAAAAAACAAAAGAGAAAACCAAATCATGATACAAATGGATTAACTGCAGTTTGACTCTTTCCCACACATTATCTATGCATTTTTCATTGTTAGAGAAAGAAACGTTCTATTAGGTTATACTTAAAACCATATTCAATTACTGCATTCAACTTGAAAATTTATCTCCTACAACTAAATTTGCCATCTCTCAAACTGAAATACTCAGCTTTCCTGTTGTGTGTCATACATTTGTTAACTCAAGTACCTAATACAGTTTTCAGTAAGAATTCTTTTGATTCCTGGTATTGAGAAAAAAAAATTCTTAAAATAATTTTGGTGTCCACTCTCTACGGGCTTTGTGAATGCTAGTTAAGCACCTTATCACTGAACTATACCCCTAGTCCTTTTTATTTTCAGACAGGGTCTCACTAAGTTGCCCAGGCTGGCCTTGAACTTGCAATCCTCCTGCCTTGGCCTATCAAGAATTACAGGTGTGTGCCAACATGCTTGGCTGTCTCCATCCATTTTATTTTTATTTATTTATTTATTTTTTTGGTACCGGGGATTGAACTCGCATCCTTACGCTTGTGCAGCAGGTAGCGAAACCACTGAGCTAAATCCCTGGCCCTCCATCCATTTTAATATCTAACACACCTAAGAGATTGACCAAATACTTGCTGCTCTCTCAACAAGCTATAACTGAAAGGTGGGTGTGATGGCTGATTGACTGTGTCAACTTGAGAAGTTCAGTTAAGATAAGCTTAACTAAATCTGGTTCAGCAATTCCATACCATAGGGTGTTGAAGATCCACCCTAGAATGGTTCCTTGCCTGGATGGTATAAAGGGGAAATGAGGAAGGACAAATCTGCTTCTGTTTCTTCCAAGGAGCTCCAGTCTTTGCCTTCACCTTGGATGTCATCTCCTGGCTTCCAGTGCAGACTCTGACTTCCGGGGCAGATGCTTCAACCATCCAGGGTAGACTTTTAGTCTTCCACTGCAGACTCATTGGCTCCTGCTACAGACTCACAACAGGACACTGCAGTGAGCTCCAGACCTTCAACTAAATCCTTCGGTCTCCAGTGTACAGACAGACCCTCTGGATTCTTCTTCATCCGACTCTGTGGGTGTCCACTGTAAGCCAATCTTGTAAATTCTTATGTATTTGTATATCTTGTGTTATACCTGTTTCTCTAATAAATATTGACTGATAGAGTGGGCTTATCTAACTTAGTAAAGCTAGAAAGTAAGGGAAAAAAAATAGTTAAATGTGAAACCTTAACATTGTAAACCAGATTATCAATGCAGTAAAGGACTGCAGCAATAATTGCTTGTCCTGATGTTTAAGTTATTTTAAAATATTGTTTTGCTCTTACAATAAAAACATTTTAGGTTATTCTTTTGTATAGCCTAAAATCAGTGGTGTGCATGAAGACCCACCACATGTTCCACAAATTTGTGGTCCAAATATATTTGAGATCACTTTCACATGAAGCTATCATTTCTTCTTATGCATTAATCATGCTAGAGTTTGTTTGTTCTTATTAATAATCTTACTCTTCTATATGCATTCCTATTACTTCATTTTAAAAAACATAGGTCTGGTTTCAGTTATGTATAGCACTTATAAAAAAATAGTACAGTATGTCTAACTTCTAATTTTTCCATGAACTTCATAGCCTCTCAAAGTCATTCTTTCCTTTTGATCTTCTGAGAATCCAAACTGCCTTCCTATACCTTTTGGTTAGGGTGACATTAAAAATGTGTAACGACTGGCATGCTGTTAACACTAAACAAAGAGAATGACACTAGCTCATAAACATATGGCTATAATGAACATGCTCACTAAACATCCTTAGTTACAGTTTGATGTTTTAAAATTAGTGTTTATTTATAATTCAATATTATGTTTACAGTAATAGTTACCTTCATATTGAGGAATTGGTACATACATGTAACATACCTTAACCATTTTGATCTCTTTACTCCCTCTTGCTACCTTCTTTTCCTTATCCCTTTACCATCTCCAGAAAGTCTGCCATTTTGTATTCTACCATGTCTCCTTTATTTGATTATTTATATTTTTGAATTCTTATATAAGAGAAATTATATGATATATAACTTTCTGACTTAACCTTATATTCTCTAGTTCCATTTATTTTCCTACAAGTGACACAACCTTAATCTTCCTTATGGTTGAATAATATTCCATAGTTATAGCTTCTTTTAAGTAGTCTGCTGTACTTTCTTCCATGCTAGTCCCATTCTCAAAAAACTTTGATCATTCCTTGCTTGCCAATTCCCAGAAAAAGGGATAGCAGTTTTCATGAAAGGAATCCACATGAATTGGATTCCAAAGATGAATTCTGCACCTTATTAAATCTTTATTTTTCCTATTTTTATTCCTTACAAGAGAATTAAGGAGAAATATTAGAACACACTACTGCTTTCTTTTTTTTTTTTGGTACCGGGGATCGAACTCGGGTCCTTGCGCTTGCGCAGCAGGCAGAGAAACCACTGAGTTAAATCCCCGGCCCACTACTGCTTTCTTTTTAACAATTGTCTCCAGAGAATGGGGCTCTTTAAGTCAGCTTTTTATTACACAGTAGCTTTGTAATTTGATTATATCCACATAGACACGTAAGTTCTTTCTTCTCATGACCAAATGAAAATAGTTAATATACAGACAAATGGATGAATTTGGGGATATATTGAGGATATTATAAGCTGTTAGCAAAACAAATGTCTCACATTTGTATAACAGAAAGAATAAATTCACAAAAAGCTTAAAGAGATGGGTCATTTAAAAATAAAAATCACAGAATTATGTTTAATAAAATCAAACATGTCATATATTATTTTTAAGATATTCTTACCCAACTTTGGAAAAACTATTAAGTACTCAGCATTGCACTGAGGACATGCCACTCTGGCTGTACTGTTTCCTCTTTGTTTTTCATCCACCCAGCGCTGTAGACAAGCCTGATGAACCCATTTGGTAGACCCTCTGCACCTGCATGGTCTCACCCATTCAGCTGTTCTATCATCTTCATCAGTGGCAAAACACACCCAGCAACTTCTGTAAATTGAGAGAAAATTGTATTAATTTTTAGAATCCCAGCATCCTGTACACTAAAGCTACTGATATATTATTATAGAACTTCTGTCCTACATAAAGAGATTAATGAAATCAATATATTCCCAGTAGAGAAATTTCTTGTTTATCTGTTTTTCCTTATTTTTCTTTATAGGATCTTTTCTGAACTTGGTTTTTTTGTAAATTTCTCCATCTTTCTGGTAATTCTGTATTTTCAACAGTGAAACAGAGTTCAAAGAGACAACCCTCAAGCTGCTCCCCCCCCCAGCTTTCTTCTTCTGCCAGTAATGGGGATTGAGCCCAGGTCCTTCACACTAAGTTACATTCCCAGCCCTTTTTAAAATTTTGAGACAAGGTCTCACTGAATTGCCCAGGCTGAGCTTGAATTTGGATCTTCTTGCCTTAGCCTCCCAGAGTGCTGGGATCACAGGCAGGCACCACCACACCTGACTATACTTCTGATTGATTGATTTTCCAGTACTGGAAATTGAACTCAAGACCTTGTGCTTGCAAGGCAGGCGCGGCACCACTGAGCTAAATCCCCAGCATACTTCTGTTTTATTTTATTTCATTTCATTTCACTTATTTATTTATTTTTAGTACTGGGGATTGAATTCAGGACCTTACGCTTTCGAGGCAGGAGGCAGAATCACTGAGCTAAATCCCCAGCTTATTTTATTTTTGAGACAGCGTCTCACTATGTAGTTCAGGCTGGCCTCAAAATTGCGGTGATCCTCCTCCCTCAGTCTTTGAACAGTGGAATTACAGGTGTGTGCCACCTGGCCTAGTTTATACTTTTACTTTATAAGAGCTGGTAATTCTTTTCAGGAGTAGTAAGCGCAGGAATATGTGAGATTCAATGTTCTCCCCATTTCAACACTAATCTCTTGAGCTTGGAAAAACAAATACACAAGTGTTTTCACATATACTCTCATTCAACTTTCAATTGAGAGGAAAAAAAACTGACGCCATTTCTCTTTCTCATACAGTATAACTGTAAGAAGAGAGAATAAAATAAAATTTTGAAAGCACAAAGGATATGAAGATAGGATAAATTGTTTTAGGGTAGTAATATAGCTGTGTTTACATATTTCCATTATAGGTATGACCGTTCTTCTTTTTCTGAAATAAAATTATATTTATTATATTTTAAATCAGAAAGCCTGAAGTAGGATGCTATATTAGCTGGGCATGGTGGCACACGCCTGTGATTCCAGCACTTGGGAGGCTGGCAGGAAGACTGCTTCAAGTTCAAGGCCAGCTTGGGCTACACAGTGAGTTCAAGGCTGGCCTGAACTACATAGCAAGACCCTGGAAAAAAAAGATTACAAATCTGGAATTTAATTGGGCATGGTGGCACACATCTGTAATCCCCAGCACTGTGGAAGGCTAACATAGGAGGATTCCGAGTTCCAGGCCAGCCTGGGCAATTGAGCAACTTATTGAGACCCTAGCTCAAAATCAAAGAAAAAAGGGGCTAGGGATGTAGCTCAGTGGTAAAGTGCTTGCCTACCATGCGTTAGGCCTGGATTCTATCTCCAATACCTCTAAACCCCTCAAAAGCAAAGAGACTGGAGAAAGGAAATTGTGTGAAAGAGACAATTAGTTGGATGCTTAAATTAGAAGTTTATAACTGCTTCTGATGACTAAATATTCTGAATGTAAATATGAGTATAGAATATGTTAAGTTTAAAGAATTTAATGTATGTTACTAGTTATCAGTTTAATTTAACTAACATGAAAAAACCCACTAATCTATGAAATTAGGGCTGGGTACAGGGAAAATTACAGCACATAAAATGACCACATGAAGGCTGGGGATGTAGCTCAGTTGGTAGATAGCTTGTGTAGTATGTAGCCAGGCCCTGAGTTCGATCCTCAGCACTGGGACAAAAAAAAAAGTTTTTAGGGACAAATATTTAGCCTTTTAGACAGTGTCATTATTTTTAAGGGCTAAAAAAAAAAAAAAAGGAGTGGAGGGAATATAGTATGCATGTGAGATGTAAATCCTGTCTTTCCATGTTATATTTTTAACTTTCGATAGATTAACCAGGAACATTACCTGGGAAGATCTTATAATTAATTATGCTTTCTCTCTTCACTTCTCCATACCCGACTCCCAGAATTGATGCACTCTCTATTTCAACTATTTCTCAATCATACTCTTACTTTTTTTTGTTTTTGATACAGGGTCTTGATATGTAGTTTAGGCCAGACTTGAACCCACTATGTAGCACAGGCTGGCCTTAAGCTCACAGTGGATCCTCCTGCCTCAGCCTCTGAGTACTGGGATTACAGGTAGTGCACACCTGGCCTTACCTCTACTTTTTAAGAAGCAGGAAACAGATGCTTGAGATGACTGGTTTAAAATTTTTCAAAAATCTTAGCATAGAAGGGACTGTAGAAATCTGTCACTTAATGTATAATAAATTTCCTCTTTTCTAAGAACAAACAGTATCTCACGCTTTCTATGAAAAATCATTCTCGCCAGGGATTTAGCTCAGTGGTTCCGGCGCCTGCCATGCAAGTGCAAGGTCCCAAGTTCGATCCCTGGTACAAAAAAAAAAAAAAAAAATCATTCTTCCTCCAACATCAGCCACACCTGTGGTTTAGGCAGTATAAGCCTCATCCCCAGTTTGTGGAAGAGTAAATCTTAGATTGGCGACAACATTCTAACTCCCAAATTATAGTGATTGGGAGACTAGATCCATAAAGCTGGTCTTAAGCATAGCTTAACTCAGAATGTGGGAAAGGTGCTACACAGATTTTCTTCTGGGGAGCTTGGAAGTAAGAGATTGTGAAGCAGCCAGGAGAACCACCATGTGGAGCCTGCAGAATCCAGAGGAAGCTGGGCATGGTGTCACATACCTATAAACCCAGTACGAGAGGATGAGCAAGAGGATTGCCTTGGGTTCGAGGCCACCCCAGACTGCATAGTGAGTTCAGGGTCACCCTGAACTACATAGCAAGACTCTCAAAAAGCAAAAAGATATATCTTGTTCTGATACAAATTCCCTAAGATGAATGTTATTATGTATATCTAAAATGTACCAGTAAATGTTTTGCTTAAAAAACAAAACAAAAAAATGCAAGAAGAAGCAAAGCTGAAAGATGGAAATTCATGGCATTGTGAGACATGGACCAAGCTGTGGCTGAAGCTAAATATACTCTTGCACCATTTACTTATATAAGCGAATAGATTTCTCTTCCTTTTTTTTTTTTTGCTTAAGCAATCTGGATCACATTTTCTGCCAACAAAACACTTGTGATAGAGTACTCAACACCAAGAGATGACCCCAATACAATCCTGTAATATAAATGCTAAAGAGCTTTTATATGTAAACTCAAGATTTTTTTTTTTTGTAAATAACTTTCTTTCCTACTCAATGAAAGCTGAGCAGAAAAGTTAACTTAATTCCCAATGCAAGTACTCTGAGTTTTGTACATTGGCCAAAATATGATCTTGATTCTGCTATTAGATGAGGCTGTTCCTTAGATTTAAAACAAAGCCAATAAGGACAAAAATCAAACAGTCTCAAATTTGAGCTTTTCACTGATACCATGATATTTGCATTTCAGAGTCAATATAACATAAATGTACTTTGATCCAAGTTATTACATATCTTAATATAATTTATGAAGTTGCAATTTTGAATACCCTACAAAATAAGAATAATTGGCTACTTTTCATTTCAAAAGACAACAGCTAAGGGTGTAGTTAGTGGTAGTGTTTGCCTAGTATGCAAGAGGCCCTGAGTTTAATCCTCAGCATCATAAAAAACAAAACAAAACACAGATGCAGACACAAAAAACTAAAGACCTCTCAAACTCCACCTCCAAGGGAAATAGCAATTGTAATTCTCAAACTTTTTAAGAGTTTTTCTTTAAGTTTATTTTTGCCCTGTTCTTTCTAATTTTACTCTCTCAGAACCCGAGTATTTAGTATGAGTCACATGCAGCATCTTAACTTCTAGAAATGGAAATAATCTCAGATCTACAGAATAAAAACTGTGGGTGCCTGACACTGTTTTTAAAGCCCTTCAGGTGATTCTGATACATAAAGTTTGGGAGCCCCTATGTTAGTCTTTCTTCTTTCCTTAGTCTCCTTAGTTCATCATAATATAGAAATAAAATTCCATTTATTTATTTTTTTGGTATCAGGGATCCAACTTGGGTCGTTGCGCTTGTGCAGCAGGTGGCGAAACCACTGAGCTAAATCCCTGGCCCTCCATTTTATTTTTTATGAAAACCATCGTCTTCCAGTTATTCACCAAAATGACCAACACAAAGGGAAAGAGAAGAACCTAGCATATGTTTTGGTTAATGCCTAGATGTCCCCCATTCCTTATGGACTCATAGAAAAGGCATTTAGGAAGTGACTGGATCGTGGGTGTGTGATACTGGATTAGTTCATTGACTGGTTCAGCATAGTTCTGAGTGTGGATAATGGGAAGGGCCACCCTTAGGCAATAAGCTTTAGCCTGTATGGAATACAACAGGAAGGAAGGCTCAGTTTCCTGCCTGCTATGCCATGAACTGTTTCTCCTCTGTGATGACCCTTTGCCATGCCGGCCTGCCTTGAAGACAACTGACTATGGGCTGACACCTCTACAGACTGTGAGCTAAAATGAACCTTTCCTCTAACTTGTGAGCGTTTTGTGTCAGCAAGGAGAAAAGTAACTAAGACAAGGTTCTCTAAGCCTTTCATTTGGCCACATTTATGTGAATCTATAAAAAGGGTTATATTGTAGATATCAGGGGGATGGGTGCTGTTCAAAAAGAAATGCCACACAAATGTTACCATGGCAAAAATAGAAGTCTACAGTATTACTCTGCACGAAGTGGGTATTGTTGTAAATGATAGGTCTCCCACTACCTCTGTGGCTATTATGTATAGTAGCTGCCCTCTCCCTTGTGTGACATCATGCCAAGATGCTTCCTCCCACCGAAGAAGAAACCTTTCTTCCCAGCATGCCCCTGTT